ATGGTGCTGGGAAAACTGGATTTCCACGTGCAGAAGCATGAAGCAAGACCCCTACCTTACACCTTACACAAAAATCCACTCAACGTGGATTAAAGACCTAAATCTACGTCCTGACACCATTAAGTTATTAGAGAACATTGGAGAAACCCTTCAAGATATTGGCACAGGCAAAGAATTTCTGGAAAAGACCCGGGAGGCACAGACAGTCAAAGCCAAAATCAACTATTGGGATTGCATCAAATTGAGAAGTTTCTGTACTGCAAAAGAAACAGTCAGGAGAGTGAAGAGACAACCAACAGAATGGGAAACAATATTTGCAAACTATGCAACAGATAAAGGGTTAATAAGCAGAATCTACAAAGAGATCAAGAAACTCCACAAAAACAAAACCAACAACCCACTTAAGAGATGGGCCAAGGACTTCAATAGACATTTTTCAAAAGAGGAAATCCAAATGGCCAACAGGCACATGAAAAAATGTTCAAGGTCACTAGCAATCAGGGAAATGCAAATCAAAAGCACAATGAAGAACTACCTTTAGCATTTATTGTAAGGGAGGTTCATGCTGCAGCATGAACTAACTGCTAGGCTAAACCTGACACTGTGGATTTTGGACAATTTGTAAAAAAGTGGCTGAGGTTAGGGGCTAAGGGTTATGGTACATGTCACAGCTTTTGTTTTCCTAGGAGAGTCTTTAATTTTCAAGGATAGTTTTGCAAGTAAATATTTCATTGGCAGTGATTGTCCTTCAATACTTGGAACATATCATGTCATTGTACCTTGATCTGTAATATTTCAGTTGAAAAATGCATTGGTAGTCTTATCAAATGTCCTTGCATGTTAGATGCTCCTTGTCTTTTGCTGTTTTCAGAATTGTCTTTATCATCTTTTTTTCAAATTCTTTTTTTGAAAGATTTGAAAGATAGACTTAAAAATAGAAGGGGAGAAAGAGAGAGAGAGAGAGAGAGAGAGAGAGAGAGAGAGAGAGAGAGAGAGAGAGAGAAATCTCCCATCTGCTGCTTCACTCTCCAAATGGCCACAACAACCAGGGATGAGGCAGGCCAAGGGCCTGGAATTCCATCTGGATTGCCAACAGGGGTTGCAGATCCTCCATGGCCTCCCCAGGCACATTAGGAGAAAACTGGATCAGAAGCAGACCAGCTGGGACTCAAACCAACCTGCCACCCCAATATGTGACGTCTGCACTTTAAGTAGTAGCTTAAGCTACTGTAGCATAATGCCAGGTCTTGGTTATGTTTCTGTAAAGCAATTATGTCTATACAATTGGTGGAGCAGTCACTTCTTTGAGACTTCACATCTGTTGTAATTCTGTTGGATACATATCTTCTATGGACAGAAGAGTAAAAGGACACTGTCTGCATTGGTTACAGTGGTCTGGAACCAGTTAGGGTGCAGATGTGTAGTCTCTGTGCATATTTGCTAAGAAGGTGTTAGAGATTGCAGGGACATTCAGCTCCAACATGGTGGATTTCCAGTCTATGCAAGAGCTGTTGGAAGGCTACAGTTCTCCCAATGTCTTCTTCACCTACTGCGCAGTCATGACTGAAAGAATCCTTCTTGGCATTGGCCTGGCTTGTGGAATGACTTGTGTCAGTGCACTGGTGTTTGCTGTGTGGTACATGTGCACAGCTATGTAACAGAGGCCTGAAGCACATACACATGGGGAGGGACTATGGTTCTGGAGCCTGGGGTGATAATGGTACCAGATCCCAGGGTACAGGCACTTCCTCTGCAATGCTGGCAACTCTGTGGAAAGCACAGGTGCTTGTGAAGTAGTTCAGGAACCAGGGATGGGAGCATGGGCATGAACAGAGCCTCAGTGTCTCTGGGGGTCTGGGTGGGGCCTGGCTCTTGATGGTGGTTGTCCCTGTGAACAGATTGTGTGCTTACACAGAGAGACCTTCCTTCTAGGACCTGGCTTGTGACCTAGCTCACTATGGTGATGGCTCCAGTGTCTGAAGTGCAAGCAAGTGCAGTGAAGCCACAGAGACACAAAGTGTGTAGGCACTCATGGAGCAGCCATGGCTCAGAGACAGGGCACCAGTGGGTTGGTGAGGGGTGATAACTCTGGTCCCAGAGCATCAAACAGACCTGTTTCTTGAGGAAGAGGCATCTCCTGCTCTCTGTGGTTCTCTAGTGAGAATGGTTATTGGTTACCTCAGTGCCCAAAGATGCCAGTGTTCTTTGTGGAGCAGGCCAGTGGGACATAAAGGTTTCTACAATGTGACTGATAACAGTTATATCTACCTAGAGCTGGCGCTGTGGCATAGTGGGTAAAGCCACTGCTTGCAGTGCCAGCATCCCATACGGGTGTCAGTTCTACTACCAGCTGCTCCACTTCCAATCCAGCTCTCTGATATAGACTGGGAAAGCAACAGAAGATGGCCCAAGTGTTTGGGTCCCTGCACCTGTGTGGGAGACCAGAATGAAGCTCCTGGCTCCTGGCTTTGAATCAGCACAGCTCTGGCTGTTGCAGTCGATTGGGGAGTGAACCAGAGGATGGAAGACCTCTCTTTCTCTCCCTCTCTCTCTCTCTCTGTGTGTGTGTGTGTGTGTGTGTGTGTAACTCTGACAATCAAATACATAATTAAGTCTTAAAAAAAAGTAAAATCTACCTTTACTTGTTCTAGCTGACTCCTGCCAATGTTTACAAAGAGAGAGGCAGAGACAGAGAGAGACAGACACTATCTTCCATCTGTGATTCATTCCCAAAATGACTCCAATGGTCAGAGCTGGGCTGGTCTGAAGCCAGGAGCCAAGAGCCAGGAGCTTCTTCTAGGTCTCCCATGTAGGTGGTAGGGTCCCAAGAACTTGAGCCATTTCCCAGGCACATTAGCAGGGCGCTAGATTGGAAGTGGAGCAACTGGGACTCAAGCCGTGGCCCATTAGGAATGCTGGCCTTGCAGGTGGCTGCTTTACCTGCTACACCACAATGCCAGCCCCTGCTACAGATTTTTAAATGGACCTCTGATACGTCCCTGCCCATTCTGGTATGTACATAGTTGTCTATAGTTGTTATTTGTAGAGGATCAAAGCTGGTTATATTCTACTTCATCATCTTGATGACATCATTGTCAGTGCCTTAAGTTTCATTACTATCATTCCATTTTATAATTTCATCCACTCTGCTATTTGTGGTCACTACAAATATTATTGCTACAAATGTGTTGTTCATATCATTTGATGCATGTGTGCATGAACTTTATTTATGACTGGAATTACTGCATCATTTCAACTGCCCCCACCCACCCACCTTGTCCAGTTTTACACTCCATGGTTTGGGTTACTCATGGCCAATGTCAATCTGAAAATATCAAATAGAACACTTCAGAAGTAAGTAGCTGGCATGTTTTAAATTGTATGCTGTTCTGGGTAAGTTGATGAAATCTCATATACTACTGTTACATCTCTGCCAGATGTGAATCATCCATTTAACCAGTACATTCATGCTGGATATGCTACCTACCTATTAGTCACTTAGCAGTAATCTTGGTTAACAGCTAAGCAGAGATATGTAGAGCCACCATTTCAGGCATCCACTGGGGGTCTTGGCATGTATCGCCCACGAATAAGGGCAGATTTCTGCACTAAGGCTATCAGTAGCATTTGAATTTTACCAGTTTCCCTACTGTTTAAAAAAGATTTATTTGAAAGATAGGGTATCTCCTCTATAAATAAATGGTGCTGGCAAAACTGACATAGCTATATCTTTATAGATATAAATATAGAGATCAATGAAATTAGATCTCTACCTCTCATCAAATATCAAAAAAACCCGAACGACTCATGATAGTTCAAAGACCTAAATTTGAGGCCTGAGACTTGGAAGAAAACGTAGGGGAAATACTTCAAGACACTGGTGTAGGTGATGACTTCTTGGGTACAACACTCAAAGCACAGGCAACAAAAGCAAATCTAGACAAAGGGGATCCTATCAAACTCAGGAGATTTTTCCCAGCAAAGGAAACCGCAGAGTGAAGAGACAGCCAACAGAGTGGGAAAAATATTTATAAGCTACTTATCTGAAAAAGGATTAGAATCCAGAATATATCAGCAATTCAAAAAACACAACAACAAAAAAACAACAAGTCCAGTTACAAAATAGGCAAAGGAGCTTAATAGACAGTACTCAGGCATAATGAATCATATCTTCATTGTTCATACATGAAGGATATGGTCTTCTGCATTTACTTTTTTTAGACTTAACTTTAAGGCTTGGCAATCACTTTACATCACATTAAACCATTTATTTTTGTTCTTTTTAAGAGCTATATACAAGTTGGCTTGTGGGGTGATCATTTTCCACCTAAACTTATGAACACATATTCTGGAATCTTATTTGTCTTTAGGCTACCCAAAACTGCTTTTTATGAAAGTATAGGGCAGAAGTTCAATTTACTATGCTTTTCCTGGATGGACAAGTGCTTGTGACAACACCACTTGGTGATAAATTCATTCTATTCCCACTGATGTGTAAAACTGGTTCTTTCATAAAGCGGCTTTCTGTGTATGTGCGTGGGCCTGTTGGTGGTCTCCATTCTGACTCACTGGTCGATTTGCAGTACTACACAGCCTGATTACCACAAGTGTAGAAAAAGGGCTTAATAAAACTCTGATGCCCTCATAGTATCAGAATGTTGACCAATGTAATCTTACTTCTACCTCCAACATCACTATCAAATGTTTCTACCTGGGAGAGTCTTGGAAATGTTAGAAGAGAATGGCTCTTCTATATGTACAATTTCTGGAACTGGATTGAGAAGTTTAAAATCAATTGTAAAACACATGTTTGAATTTTGCCTGGATCTCTACTGAGCATCTTGATTAATCTGGGGAGCCATGTGATCTCTACAATGCTGTCTTTCAATCTGTGAGATGGTGCAGCTCTCCATTTCTGAGACTTAAATTTCCTTCAATGCAGTTCTATAAGCCCCTCCTTCAAAGCTTTTGTTTACATATTATCTCTTTGTTTTCTTCAGAACATTAAAACACAGATGACTGAAATAATGAGCAACGTGCACCGAATAATGGCTCGCTACAATCTCGACTTTGACTTGCCCTCCGGACACCGCATCTCTCTTACAGAACACATGAGGAAACAGAGATCCCTGTTTCTGGAGAGAATGGGTACTTACTCTAAGAACGCTGAAAACAGAGAAAAGACACTTGCCTACATTCTGGCCTGGTTAGAGGAATGGAGTAAGTGTCTAGAAGTGTTTCAGAGAAAAATCACAAAGTCAGCAACTCTACTGTGGGGGATTAGTCAGATTAAAGAAGAAAACACTAAGGAGGTTTTTCAGAAAATGTCTGTCTCATTTCCCAGTAAGAAGGAAATATAGATTTGCTCACTTAGTGAACATGCTGACTTCCTTGTTTTTCTTCAAGCATGCCAGTAATGCCCCAGCCCAATGTCTGTATGCTTCCTGTTTGCTTGCCTGGAACATTTTTCACTCATTCCTTGCCTAAATTTCACTTTAAAAACAATGTGTTTTCTGACATCCCCATTCCCTGTTACCTCACACTCTGCATTACCAAGCATCTTTACCTTTGTCTACACCATTCATATCTGCCATACCACACAATTTAATTTTTACTTCCTGTCTGTCTCCTTTCGCTAGAATGTAAGCAGTAGGGAGTTGGGGAACTTGTATTCAATGCTGTATCAACAGAATCTGCAACAGTACACATCTGAATAGACACTGGTGAATTAAAGAATGAACAAGCATACAATAATAAGACAGCATCAGAGAAAGAAGGAGAGAGATAAACAGGGATAGATAGATGGATAGACAGATGTTTCATTCGCTGATTCATTCTCCAAGTGGCCACAATGGCCCAGGATGTTCCTGGCCATAGCTAAGAGCCTGGAACCCCATCCTGTCTCACATACTGGTGGCATGGGCCCAAGTATTTTGTCCATATTCTGCTGTGTTTTGAGGCACATTTACAAGAAGAGAGATTGGAAGCAGATCAGCTGAGGCCCAAACCGGCACTCTGATATGTAGAATAAGGAGAATATTGCAATCCACACCACAATGCTGGGCCCTTCACCATTTGTTTAAAATATTTCATCTCCTTACAAGAAATTCCATGTAATGGGGGTTAGGAAACACTAGAAAACTGCCCAAACAGGTCGATTTACATTTAGACACCCAATATGAAAGCATCTATTCCTATTTTAGACACTGATTTCCTTGGAGTTGGAGTTGAAGAACAAAACCAGATACCTTTCAAAAACTTGATTCATAAGACTTACTACTCAGCTTCTTCCTCCAAGTCTTTACCTGTTTCATTGAGAAAAGCCTCAGAATAGCAGTAAATGCATGATAACCATGACTGTACTCCTGAATACAATTTATTTAGTAGTTACCTGATGTTATAAAGCTATATGGTTATGCTTATCTATTTGTATGCACAAAATAACGATTTTCTTCTCTTCAAGATGTTATTTTGTCTGACATAACTGCATTTGATGTTGAGGAACACTACCATTGGATAGTACAAATGGAGATGTTTCCAGAAACACTGAGAGCCATCGAGAACAATGTCAATATACTATGTAGCATCAGCACCACTTTCCTGAATGATAAGAAGACACAGAAGAAAAAAATAGGTAATTGTGTTTTGTGACTTGGCAAATGGAGTTTTCTTTTTTTCTCAAAATGCAGGTTGGCGGAAGTATCATTTATAGACCATAAAACTCAACATGTTAAATGATTCTCAGTACCTTTCAAGACCTCTGAAATCCAATCAGAGGGCCCCAACACAGGTCCATGTTCCACCCACTATTGACAGTGAGAAGCTGAATTCTCCCACACTATGACTGTTATCTTCTTCTCCCTTTAATTTCATCAGTCTTTGTGTGTTTGGGGGCTTGGCTGTATGCTGTATGTTTATAATCATTACAGCTTGCTGATGTATTGACCCTCGCTGTCTCTGGAACCATTGTTGTTGTGCTGATATCTGTTTTGTCAGATAGTATATAATCTTCAGCTCCCACATATTCACAGTGAATCTTTTTTCTATCACTTTACTTCTGCTCTCTTTTTGTCTTTGAATCCAAGGTGTGTCACCTGTAGTTGGATCTTGTGGGACTTTTTTTTTTTTTTTTTTTGTGGGAGGTAAAATAGCAAGGTTTATTAGGGAAGGGACATCTGTAAGGATGAATGGGCACCTCTCCAGACAGGACCTGAGAGAGTGCCCAGTCGCTTGAATGGGGGGAAAAGCAAGGTTACATGGTTGAGTAGAGAGATTACACCTGACCAGGTCAGGCAGGCGGCTCAGCAGAGAGGCAGAGGGATGAGTGTGCAATCCGGTTGAGGCCGGGGGTTTTTAAGGAGATGGGTCTTTGTCTTAACACATTTCTTCCTGAAACAAAGGATTTTATGGATGTAAATATTAAGAAGCTCCTATCTGAGTTTTCCCTTGAAGGTATCAGACAGGAGGAAGGCTAGCTGGTGCCATCCTGTGTTTAGAGGAAGGGTGAGCAGGACCCCCTAGAGAATCAGGATCCGGAGCAGGGTGTTTGAAATGCAAATACTGGGCTGCATCTGGGAGATTGTGGAAGATTTGTCAGGCAGAAGGGGCGGGGACCTCCACCTGGCAGGTTATCAGGTAGGAGGGGGCAGGGCAGAATGTGAATACCGGGCTGCCCATGAAACATTGTCAGGATGACTTTGAGATGCAGATGCTTATGCTGGACATAGATGTCTTCTCTTCATGCCTTTATGTCACACACACATAAGCTCATATCTGACTTCCTACCTAACATTCTCCCCTCAAGAGGCAATACCCAAAATTCTTCTTTGGGATTATGGATGGAGTTCCGTTTTCTGTAACTTCTTCAAAGCTGGCATGTGGGCGTCGAGGGGGATTTGGGTATTTCCTCTTGCTATCTGTCTTATGGTGTGCAACAGTGGCCTTGGAAAGACTGTCCTGCTCAGTCTAGAGGGCTGCTCAGGTCATCCAGCGGAATGGGCTAGAAGCCTTGTCCGACGACCATTTGGAGTTTGACAGCTTTTAGCCTGTTAGAGACAAAACGAACAAGGGCATTAAAAACATATGGTCCAAAGAGAAGCAGCAAGATTACAGAAGTTATTGGGCCAAGGAGAGGAAATAGTCAGGATTTCTACGACCAGATGTCAGGCCAGAAATCCCAGCCCTGCTTGGCCTGGTCCTGGAGCAGTTTGGCTTTGTCCAGGGAAAGTATGAATTTGGGTTTGTACCTGTCCAGTCTGATTGACCCAGAGACAATGTTCTTCCTGGAGCATGGCACAGATACCTCTCGGAGCAGCAGTTAGCATGTCCAATATTTTTTTTCTTTCATAATCTTTTGTGACTTCCACACACCCTCTTCAACTTACTTGAAACATTCAATCACTTCCATTCCAGTCTAGAGTAAACTAGCCATCAGGATAGGACTTTTTCTTTTCATGCAAGTCTGACAATCCAGGTGTTCCACATGGGCAGTAGGGACCCAGACACTTCAGTCATTGGTTGTGGGAGGAAAGTTGCTGAGTTTCTCCTTCAGCCATTCAGTATATCTTTTGTCTATTGATTTATGGCCCTTTTGAAAGAATCAAAGTTTCTCACAGTAAGAAAAGGTAGAAAAGGGAGACAGGAACCCAAAAGAGAAAACTGAATGCATCAAGCAAACACAAACTCAGGGAAAAGTTGGATTTGCATTCTATCAAATCCCAAAGTTCAAGTAAAAGTGAGTTAATGATGTCACAACTGAGATCATCTCCTTACCTCTGGAAGCAATTCTGGGTGATTGTAAGAAAACACGATTCTAAAACCAAAACTTTTAGAGCTGCATTTTTCTCTCTGTTTTTCTTTTTTCTTTTTTTATATTTATTTATTTATTTTAAATTTTTTTGACAGGAAGAGTGGACAGTGAGAGAGAAGAGACAGAGAGAAAGGTCTCCCTTTTGCCGTTGGTTCACCCTCCAATGGCCACCATGGCCAGTGCGCTGCGGCCGGCGCACCACACTGATCTGAAGCCAGGAGCAAGGTACTTCTCCTGGTCTCCCATGCGAGTACAGGGCCCAAGGACCTGGACCATCCTCCACTGTACTCCTGGGCCACAGCAGAGAGCGGGCCTGGAAGAGGGGTGACAGGGACAGAATCCAGCACCCTGACCGGGACTGGAACCTGGTGTGCAGGTGCCGCAGGCGGAGGATTAGCCTATTGAGCCGTGGCACTGACCTGTTTTTCTTTTTTCAAAGATTTACTTATTTGAAAGGTAGAGTGACAAAGATAGAAGGAGACACAGAGAGAATGAGATCGTCCATCTACTGGTTCAATTCCCAGTTGACTGGGCCAGGGTGAAGTCAGAAGCTTGGAACTCCATCTAGTTTATCCCTGTGTGGGTGACAGAGGCTTGGAACTCAGGCCATCCCCCACCATCCTCCTAGGCACATTAGCAGGGCATCTGGGACTCCAGTGAGTGCTCCAACATGGGATGACAGGGTCATAACTTGTGGATTAATCTGGTGTGGCACAAGGCCAGGGTCATAGCTAAAGTTTTCTGACTAATCTTCAATGGACAGTTACCTGTCCATTTGGTCTAAATTCATTAGGCTTAAACATAGAGCACAGCACAAAAGAAGCAATACGATCTCATTTTTTTGTTTTATATTTTTTTCCTTCCAGTATCTAGAGGTGCTCTATGGAAAACATGGAAAGACAGATTTATAAAGCGACCTGCAACAGCCCTTGCACTAAGACCAGATCAAATGATCTCTGATCAATTTACAACCAACACCAAGGTTTTGGAAATTCAACGTATGTTACAAGAACTCATAGGTTCTTCAATGTTCAACAAAATGGAAAACACTGCAATCAAATATATCTCAGCAACTATATTAAATCTTTACAAAGCCTTGAGTGCCGTGTGTGAACAAGTCAATGTTTCTAACATTGTAAGTGACAGCATGTTTTTTGAAAAGTATGAAACAGAAAAAGAACTCTCCAGAAGGATGATCTGTGACCTTAGTGAGGAAAACGAGCTGCTGCAACGAAAACTGCAAGAGAAAGAAGAAAACTATGAGCAGCTAATTCAAACCACAGTTCGTGCAGGCCAGCAAGAATATACATCAGTGCCCACACCCAGGACCCATATCAAGGCTGGGGACATAGCAGACAGTATGGACAATATTTTAGCCAAGGAATTGGAAAATACTTTATATAAGTCTCCAACAAAAAAGATCAAATCCTCCGAGATAAAGTGGGGCTCTTCACTTTTATGTAAAGCCCCAGCTGTACTGACCCCAGATTGCCAGGACAACAATACCGTCCACCTGAAGACCATCAGAAAATGGGTCCTGGGCCTTTGAAGGGTACTGCTGACTTGAAAACACTGGGGCCAATGAAACAGCAAGAGGAGAAGAAAGAGGAGAAGCTGCGCAAGGGCCTGAACAGAGAGACAGCTGGAGCTGAACACAAACGCTGCACCCCTCTTCACCGAGTCCTCACCACCTGGAGTGCCTCCCATTTACCCACAGCCCCACCTAAAATACAAACCCCTCACTCCTCTGAAAACCCAGGCCCTGATGACCACTCTGACACCCAGCAGGCCCAGGCCCTAATGACCACTCTGACTCCCCAGCAGGCCCAGGCCCTGGGTACCACTCTGACCACCCAGCAGGCAGAGGCCCTGAGGACCACTCTTACCCCTCAGCAGGCCCAGACTCTGGGGACCACTCTGACCCCCCCAAAAGCCAAGGCTATCAGGCCTCTCACCCCTCAGATGGCCTAAGATGTGGAGACTATGACTCCTCAGCTGGCCCAGGCCCTGGGGAAAACACTAACCCCTCAGCAGGCCCAGGCCATGGGGACCACTGTTACCCATCAGCAGGACCAGGCTGTGGGGACCACTCTTACCCATCAGCAGGACCAGGCCATGGGGACCACTCTTACCCATCAGCAGGACCAGGCTGTGGGGACCACTCTGACCCATCAGAAAACCCAGGCCCTGGGGACCACTCTTAACCATCTGCAGGCCCAGGCCGTGGGGACCACTCTGACCCATCAGCAGGACCAGGGCATGGGGACCACTCTCACCCCCCAGCAGGCACAAGCGGTGGGGACCACTCTTAACCATCTGCAGGCCCAGGCTATGGGGACCATTCTTATTAATCAGCAGGCCCAGGCTGTGGGGACCACTCTGACCCATCTCCAGGCACAGGGCATGGGGACTACCCTTACCCATCAGCAGGCCCAGGCCCTGGGGACCACTCTGAGCCCCCAGCAGGCCCAGGCCCTGAGGACCACTCTTACCCCTCAGAAATCCCAAGCCCTGGGGACCTCTCTGACCCTGCAGCAGGCCCAGGCTGTGGGGACCACTCTTACCAATCAGCAGGCCCAGGCCCTGGGGACCTCTCTGACCCCCCTGCAAGCCCAGGACCTAGGGATCACTGAGGCCCAGGCCCTGAGGACCACTCTGGCCCCTCACCACACTCAGACTCGGGGGGCCAACCTTACCCCTGACAAGGCCCCTCCTACTCCAGGGCAGCCCCTTGAGCTGGAGGCAGTGAGGCCAAAGCAGGACTTTCCTCAAACTGCCTGGCCACCTCCAGCAATGAAGGCCCCACTCACTCCCAGGTGGCCTATTAGATCTGGAACAACATCCACCTGGAAAAAGAGCCCGGGTCTCCATGGTCCTCTCTCTCCTGGCCAGTCCTTGGCTCCTGGGCCGCCTTCCTTCCCTGGAGCGCTCTTGGAGTCTGGACCTTCCTCTGCACAGCCTCCGGCACACCAGCCTCCTGTCTCCACTGGGCAGCCCCCCTCTCTCCAGGCCTCTTCTGCCCTTGCACAACATCTGGCACCACCGACCCTTCCTGGAGAAACTTCTCCATCATGGATTGCTCCCAGCTCTGGGCATCCCTCCACATCATGGACCCACTCAGCTGCTGGAATGCCCCAGAAAGGTGTGGCCTCTTCTGGGAGGAAGAAAGGACTGGTAAGGATTGCTTCCCAGAAATTGGTCCAACCCAGTCCTCCGGGTTGGAAGAGAGATCTCACTCCATTCATTGCCAGCAAGCCTTCTGCAGAAACCCAAACACCTCGGGAGTCTTCACCCATGGAGCTTCAGTCCCATCTCTCCAGCGACAGCATACCAACATCATGCATCACTTACACCGATGGGGGGACCCTGCACTCTCTGCAGAAGCCTAAAACATCACTGCCTTCTCTCGCTCCTCAACTAACACCAGCATCACAGGTCCCTTTCACTAATGAGGGGGTCCTGCACACTCGACAGAGGTCGAGAATGGCCCTGCCTTCCATCACTCCTCAACTGTCCCCGCCGGCACGGGTCCCTTTCACTAATGAGGAAATCCTGCACACTCAGCAGAAGCCTAGAACATCACTGCCTTCTGCCACTCCTCAGATATCCAAGACATCACAGAAACCTCTTTCTCAGTGGGCCTCGAAATCCCAATACCTCTCTCTAGATAAACCACGGTTCATGAAGCCAGTTTCAGACATCAACAAAGACAAAATGATGGTGCCCCCTTCCTCTCCCAAAGAGCTTGAAGGGAGGATGTGTTTTGTTGACGTGGAGACTCAGAGGAAGAACCTGATGCTATTGAATCAGGCCTTAACAACTAATGGACTCCCTTCCCCGCTCCACACAACAGCTAGGAATCTCATCATCGAGACCCTTCACACAGACCAGGTTCGGCTAGGATACCTGTTCCACAAGTACACTGCCCACAGGCTGATCCAGCGCTTCAGGTAGATAATTCTCCAATGATCTAGCTGATTTATGCCCAGCTTTTTCCTGAACAGTCTGATATCAAATATCCTCCCTCCTTGCCCTAGAAGTATATTCATGTTTGTCAGATTGCATATTGTGAGAGAACCTTTTATTGAAGATATGTAGGATGGAAGCCTGTTTAAGACAGCAAAAGGAGACATTTTTAAGTGAATAAGAAATGGGGAATAACAAGATCCATTTCATTCTTTCATATCTCAAGCAGAGATGCTAAGGCATGTTTTGTGATTCATGGTTGATCTCCAAAAGATCAACTTCTAAAAGGTCAGAGATGCCGGCTGGTCACTCTGAGTTTCTTTCATCTTCAGTTCACCAGAAGATGTAGGGTTTTTATTTCTTTTTAAAAAATAATGTTTAATTACATTCATTTTTAAAATTCACTTGCGAGATAGAATACTTCCAACTCCTGGTTCACTCCCCAAATGCCCACGTGGGGCAGAAGTGGATCAGGACCAAAGCTCAGAGCTAAGAATAAAATCCTAGTCTCCTCAAATTGGCAGAGACCCAACTTGCATCATCACTGCTGCCTCCCAGGGTCTGCATTAACAGGAACCTGAAATCAGGAAGCAGAGTAGGTATCAAACCCTGACACTTTGGTATGGAAATGGGCATCTTAGCCACTAGCTTAATGGGTGACTTACCGGCTAGACCAAATCAACTACCCCAGTTGATGTACGATCTTTAAAAATGGAGATGGACACTGATGGATGGCCTATCAGCTAAGACAACCTGTTAGCATTCTTATGTCCTATATCAGAGTAATTGTGTTGAATCCCTGGATCCGGCTCCCCATCCTGATTCCAGATTCCTACTAATGCAGATCCTAGGAGGCAGAGGTGATGGCCAAGTGACTGGGTTCCTGTCAACCACATGGGAGCCCTGGTTGAGTTCCCGGCTCACAGTTTAGCACACCAACCACCCCCTCAGTGTGGCAGGTATTTGAGGGAGTAACCAGCAAATGGGAGTTCCTGCTCTGTCTCCCTTTTTCTGCTTTGAAATAAGCATTTTTAAAAAGAGAAGTTAATTTTTTAACAAGTTGTTCATTTTACCTACTTGAAAGGCAGAGAGACTGAGAGAGAGAATCTCCCACCCACCCAGTGATTTACTCCCCCAAATACCTTCAACAGTTGGGCTGGGCCAAGCTGGAGCCAGGAGCCAGGAACTCAATGCACATTTCCCATGTGAGTGGTAGGAACCGAACTCCTTGAGCCATCACCTCTTCCTCCTAGGCTGTGCATCAGCAGGAAGCTGCACTGGGAGCAGGAAGCAGGTATGGAACCCAAGAACTCCAACACATGATGGCGAGCTTCCCCAGTGTCACCTGAACCACTGTGTCGAATGTCCACCCCAACGAACAGATGTTTAAAAAGACTAGCATGGGGTATAACACTTTTTGTTCATTGCCAATACAACAGATCAAATGTGGAATCTCATTGTTTTAGTTTGCATTGCTTTGTTGTGGGTGAGGCTAAGTATCTTTCATAGACATCAGATCCATCTGCATTTCATTTCCTGTGAAGATCCTATTCAAATACTTTGCCCATTTTTCAATAGTTACCAAGTTTTCATGAAATGGATTCATGTGCCCTATTCAAATACTTGGAAAAGTAGCCCCTGGCCTAATTCCACCCACTTGTGTTTTTACTCCACTCTTGGTAATTTTGGGTTTGTAGAAAATTCTTATTTTTATTTGCTGGTTTGATTTATTAAGATAGGCCTTCTGCATTCTGAGATTACTAAATGTTTTCCTGGATTTCTTTGGGTGTCTTTAAAGTTGGTTATTAGCTTGATTGCTTGTCTTACAGTTAAGTCTGATCCTTAATTTTCTACAGTAGTAGATGGACTTTGCTGGGGTGTTTTTCACATGGCTACTCAGTTGCCCCCTAGCATTTTTAAATTATTCATTCATTTGAATGCCACAGCGATGGAGAAAGAGATCTTCTTTCTGATGATTCACTTACCATATGGCCATATCTGACAGGTCTGGGCCAGGCTCTAGCCAGGAGCCAGGACTTTCACCCAGGTCTCTCACAAGGGTGATAAAGGGCCAAAGTACTTGAGTCATTTTCTACTGCTATACCTGGTTAATTAGCAGGGACCTCAATCAGACGGCCAGTAGCTGAAACTCAAACCTGCACTCTGATATGGGATGTGAGCATCACACGGTCCCTCAACCCACTCTGCCACAAAACTTGCTGCCCATGTTTTTTTTTTCTAGGAAAATTCCACATTCAAGGGGTTTAAAAATACCCTTTACATTTACATTCTCCTTTTTGAGAAGTTGTGAAGTACTTTTTGTTTTCTTAAGTAGCACAGATGTATAAATGAACCAACCAGTAACACAGGACTTGGGAAAAAAGAGAAAGTCAACCCCTAACTAAGCATGTCCTACTTTCCAGACAACGGTGACCTCTTCATCTTGATAGGATTAAGATGGCAGTGCTCCTGATGCAGGATCAGTAGGTGTGCCTTTCCTGTTGCAGCGCCTTATAGCTGCAGCCTGATTCTTTTCCATTGTCTCCTCTGGGAGTGCCACCTGATTTCATTACTAGTTTTCAACTGAATTCACTGAAGAATGGGGTAAATTTTTACCTTTTGCCCAGGAATCTCTTTCTGTGAAAGTCTTATGAGAAGACTTGGCAAGGCAGAGAGTCAGGCACACTCACAACAATGGCAGAGAAAATACAAAACATACTTAAACTTGGTCAGTTTCTTTTTTTTTATTTTCTCGATTCGTATGTAATTCAGATTGCAAAAACATGAGTTGTTATTTCATTATAATTATTATGACATAATTTTAAAAACTGTGGTGACAGTGGATTTCTATCCAGTATTTGTCATTAAGAAAAATGATAACTTTGGGGCCGGTGCTGTGGTATAGCGGGTGAAGCCACTGCCTGCAGTGCCAGCAACCCATATGGGCACCAGGTTCTAGTCCCAGTTGAACCTCTTCCAGTCCAGCTCTCTGTTGTGGCCCAGGAAGGCAGTGGAGGCTGGCCAAAGTGCTTGGGCTCCTGCACCTGCATTGGAGACCAGGAGGAAGCACCTGGCTCCTGGCTTTGGATCGGCATAGTTCCAGCCGTAGCGGCCATTTGGGGGGTGAACCAACGGAAGGAAGACCTTTCTCTCTCTCTCACTGTCTAACTCTGTCAAATTAAAAAAAAAATCTTAAAACAAAGAAACAACAAATATGATAATTTCAATTGGAAGTACACTTTATCATAATAGAAGTGTCACAGTGCAGAGTGTTGGTGTAGCAGCTAAGATGCTGCTTAGGTATTCCTGAATCCCATAATCAAGTGCCAGGATTTGGGTTCCCACTCTGCTTCTGCTTTCAGCACTAATGTGTACCCTAGGAGGCAGCAGGTGATGGCCATAATACTTGGGTTCCTTCTACCCAAGTGAGAGATCCAGATTGCACTCGAGTCTCCTGGCTTCAGTCTAGCCCAGCCACAGATGTTTTGGCAATTTGGGGACTTAAACAATGGTTGTAATATATTCACTCTCTCTCTCTCTCTCTCTTTGCATCTCTATGCCTTCCAAATAAACAAAAATTCAAAAACAAAGAATATCCATTTGTTCCTGTTCCACTATCTTTAAAATGCAGAATGGATGTCAAATTTTATTAAGTTGGTGAAATAACATTTTGTTGAATGTGAGTTCAGCACTTCATTTTCACGTGAATTAAAGGAAGCATTTTTTCTTAGATCCATTACAATGATTAATAACCACTGGTAATTAATTAATAGTTTCCATTAATATTAGTAAAACCATTAGAGCATTCCCAGCATGAATCCAATTTTCCGTAGCATACTCTTTTCATTGCTATTTTCTAGTTACTTTGAGAGGCAGAAGACAGAGACAGAAAGATAAACATAGACAAAAAGCTCCCATTCACTGGTTCACTCCCGAAATACCCACAATGGCCTGGCTAAACTGAGGTGAGGGTCAGGAGCTTGGAACACAATCCAGGACTCCTGTGTGGGGTGGCAGGCACCCAATTACTTGAGCCATTAGCACTTCTGCCTCCTAGGATCTGTACTGCTGAGAAACTGAAGACAAAAGTCAGATCAAGGAATTAATCCCAGGCACAGGGATATGAGGCCCTGGATGTTTTAACTTCTATGTTGAAAATTCACTCCCAGTATAAACTTCCTTGAATATGTTGTGAAATCCGTAATATTTTATTAGGGACTTTTTAACTGGTATTCATGAGTAAGTTTGGCAGATGGTTTACCTTTATCAAATTTTGCTATGATTCTAATTTTATACCATTAAAAGAAATATGGATGTTCATCTTTTTATACTCTGGAAAAGTTTAATAGGAAAGTTAGCTGATCTTTGAATATTTGGTGGATTTCACCTATGATATTATAGGGACTTGGCGCTTTTTTGGAGTTCTTTGACAGCTTTCCAGTGTTTACATAACAACTTGTTTGAAAGATTTATTGATGATGTTGAATACCTCAGCAACAGGAACACTTACTTCAGTAAAATAATTTAAAAATTGAAATATATAGATCAACATTCCAGAATATTTAACTTCATATAAGTTTAATCCCATCCAGATAAATTTATCTTATTAGAAATTTATTTAATATTTAATATATTTTTTTAACTTTTATTTAATGAATATAAATTTCCAAAGTACGATTTATGGATTACAATGGCTTCCCCCCCATACCGTCCCTCCCACCCACTACCCTCCCCTTTCCCACTCCCTCTCCCCTTCCATTCACATCAAGATTCATTTTCGATTATCTTAATATACAGAAGATCAGCTTAGTATACATTAAGTAAGGATTTCAACAGTTTGCTCCCACACAGAAACATAAAGTGAAAAATAATAGATGATTTTTTTTAAATGATGATGAAATCAGATCAGACCTATTGTCATGTTTAATCCCAGTGAGAGTCAAGTTGGGAGTTGATAATTTCTTTTCTTTTTTTTTTTTTTTTTTACAGAGGATCAGTTTAGTATACATTAAGTAAAGATTTCAACAGTTTGCACCCCCATAGAAACACAAAGTGAAATATATTGTTTGAGTACTCGTTATAGCATTAAATCTCAATACACAGCACATTAAGGACAGAGATCCTACATGAGGAGTAAGTGCACAGTGACTCCTGTTGTTGACTTTACCAATTGACACTCCTGTCTATGGCATCAATAGTCTCCCTATGCTCCAGTCATGAGTTTCCAAGGCTATGGAAGCCCTCTGAGTTCTCCGATTCTTATCTTGTTTAGACAAGGTCATAGTCAAAGTGGAGGTTCTCTCCTCCCTTCAGAGAAAGGTACCTCCTTCTTTGAAGACCTGTTCTTTCCACTGGGATCTCACTCACAGAGATCTTTTGCCAGGGTGTCTTGGCTTTCCATGCCTGAAATACTCTCATGGGCTTTTCAGCCAGATCCGAATGCCTTTAGGGCTGATTCTGAGGCCAGAGCGCTATTTAGGACATCTGCCATTCTATGAGTCCGCTGAGTATCTCACTTCCCATGCTGGATCACTCTCCCCTTTATTTATTCCATCGGTTAGTGTTAGCAGGTACTAGACTTGTTTATGTGCTCCCTTTGATTCTTAGTCCTTTCATTATGATACCATATGTTCTCCCTGATCGGTGACAACTGAGTGAACACCAAAAAGGAAACCTCCTGAAGTGAAATGGACACTATGAGAAACGGTGACTTGATCAGCATAGCCCTGACTGTTAATGAACAACTTAATACATTATCCCTCTTAGTAGTTTTTTTGTCTGTTCTACTTAATATGACTGGTTTAATTCTGTAATTAATACACAGTTATTCTTAAGTGTTAAAAATTAACTGAAATGTGATCCCTGTTAAACATAAGAGTGGGAATAAGAGAGGGAAGAGATGTATAATTTGGGACATGCTCAAGCTGACTTGCCCCAAATGGTAGAGTTAAAAACATACCAGGGGATTCCAATTCAATCCCATCAAGGTGGCATGTACCAATGCCATCTCACTATTCCAAGTGATCAATTTCAGTTCACAATATTTAATATTTTTAAACAGGAAGCTTTTTAAAAATTTGTTGATGTTCCTTACTTGAACAGCAGAATGAAAGGGAGAGAGAGAGAGAAAGAAATACCCATCCAATGATTAACTCCCTAATTGTCCCAGATGCCCACAACCGGGCCAGGCTGAACTTGGGAGTCTGGAACTCCAGGTCTCCCATGGGCATGGCAGAGACCCAAGTCCTTGAGCCATTAACTGCTGCCTCTTGGGATGTGCATTATCAGGAAGCTAAATTAGAAGCAGAGGAGCCAGTACTTGAACCAGGCACTCTGCTATGGGACACAAGAACCCCAAGGAATGGCCAGCTAACAGAGAATCTTAAATAGTACACTAAAGATCTTGTAACTCAGTCTGCACATGACAGAGGGTAACTGAAGAACCTTTCTAGGGCAGTGAAAGCCATTCATGTGGAGGATGGATCTAAGGGGGAGTAAAGCTTCATGCACAGCTGTAAGCTAGGAACAGAGGGCATCCACCTAACTCCTGAAGGAATATAAAGGTGGCAGTGAAATTACTACTGCAGGGTTTCCTGTTGTCCTAAAGGACACTCTGCCTTGGTGGAATTTCCACACTGTAACTCCAGTTAACTAAGGGAAAGCTGTGGGGTTTGTAATTGAAAGTGGATTCACTGACCTTTTGAAACAGTAAAAACCGATAGGCCAAAGGAAATATGAATTTTGTAGGGGGTGGGTGGGCATTCAGCCTAGCAGTTAAATGTTCACATCCCACCCCACTGTGTCCCTGGGTTCAATAGCTGGCTCTGAGTCTGGATCTTGACTCCAACTCCCTGCTAATGTGAACCCTGGGAGGCCCTGGTGATGGCTCAAGTAATTTGGTTCCTGCTCCCCACGTGGGAGACTTGGTTTGACTTCTTGGCTCCCAGCTTTGGCCTGGCCCAATCCCAGCTATAGAAGGGAGCTCTCTCTGCCTCTCTCTGTCTCTCAATAAGTAAAATTACAAAAAGAAACTTTTGTGGGAGACTCAAACTTGCCTAATCTAGAATTGTTTGAAGAAACATCACATGAACAAGGTTAAATCACATGAAAATATATTACTCAGATTTGGTTATGGAAATCAGGCAGACTTGAGTTTAAATGTCTAATTTTGAACCTCTCTGAGATGCAAATGTGATGTTTATACTGTGAATGCAATGATACTTGCTTCAACACATAGTTGAGAGGATTGATGTATAATTTCTAGTACTTGATCTCACTCTTAGTAGATATTCCATAAATGCAAATCATGGTAAATGTAAAGCAGATAAAAACCATTCCTTACAATGGGGGCAATATGTTATCAATACAAATGGCACTGGCTAAGAGAGTGGAAGCAAAAGGTTAGGAGGATGAATAGTCTTGCTCCTGTGCAGGGACTTTTAAATAAGGAGATAATTCCCATGGTTCTCCCTAGGCTGAGGTTTCCATAGCCTTGGCAGCTCATGACAAGAGCCTTGAGTGATTACAGATGTCATAAATAAGGGTGTCAATTGTTAAAGCAACAACAGGAGTCACTGTGCACTTGCTCCCCATGTAGGACCCCTATCCTTAATGTGTTGTACTATGAGAATTAAGGGTAAAACTTCAGACAGTACTTTATACTTTGTGTGTCTGTGTGGGTGCAAACTGCTGCAATCTTTACTTAGTATATATTAAGTTGATATTGTCTATACAAAGATAATTAAAAATGAATCTTGGTGAAGAATGGGATGGGATAGGGAGTAGCAGATGGGATGGTTTGTGAGTAGGAGGGTGGTTATAGGGGGAAGAACTGCTATAATCCAAAAGTTGTACTTTCAAAATTTCTATTTATTAAATAAAAGTTTACTATTAAAAATATAAGTGTTTTGGAGGAATGGACACTGTCTTTTAATAATTACATTAAGTACTTGCTACATGTCTTACATATCAGTTTTTTAAAAATGGAGAATTGTGCCCATTGAGACAATTTTTTAAAAATACTTGTATTTAAACATCTTGACATTGAAATGACAAGCAATGCTTTTGAATGCTAAAATACTCTAAATAGTTAATGAAATTTCAGAGGCCATATAGATTATTGGAAGTGTATTCGCATAGAGAAGTAGATTAATGTCTGGTTAAAAAGTAGAAACAAAAGCCCTTGTTCCCATCCCATCCCATTGCTCTCTACATGCAAGAGACGATGTGAGAAATGAGGGAAATGAGGGAAACAAGGAATGATTTGAGGAATGAGAAAACTTAAGCTCTTTAATTTATCAATCTAATCCCCCCCCTTTTTTTTTTTCAAGAAACTACATAATCTGTCGAGTGAAAGCCACCCGAAACACTGGGAAAGGTTATGAGATGCAGAAACTCTATGTCATGCTGAGCAAAATTGATGGCTATCAGAAAAGAGTGATGCATGTCTGGACTGAGAAGCAGAAGCTTCTGGAAGAGAAACGGAATCAATGCCTGAGGAAAATGATACCTTTATTTGGCCAGGTAATCTCTTTTCTGTTCCCTGTCTGCAGTGTGATATGACAGAAATGTGAAATCACTATTTTTTTTAAGATTTATTTTATTTATTTGAAAGACAGTGTTACAGAGAGAGGTAGAGACACAGAGAGATGTCTTCCATCCACAGTTTCACTCCCCAGATGGCCACAATGGCCAGTGCTGCACCGATCTGAAGAAAGGAGCCAGGAGCTTCTTCCGGGTCTCCCACGTGGGTGCAGGGTACCAAGGACTTGGGCCATCACCTACTGCTATCCCAGGCCACTGCAGAGAGCTGGATCAGAAGAGGAGCAGCTGAGATTAGAACTGGTGCCCATATGGGATGCTGGCACTTCAGGCCAGGGCTTTAACCCACTGAGCAACAGCAGTAGCCCCAGCACCACATTTTGAAAGTTTAAAACCAACCTGCCCAGACCACAAATGCCACTTTTCCAGGGACATCCTAACAAATTACCAGAAACTTGATGGTACAGGGTGGGGAATGTTCTGCCCATGGGCCAAACAAGGTCCATGAAATCATTTGTTTGGTCCTGGCAAGACAACTACAGGCAAGACTTGCAATTTAAGGAATTTATAAGAGGCTAATTTTTAAGTTGACAATTTTCTATGGCCATGAATGATGGCATAAATATCCAAATGCGCCCTGGCAGAATACAAGGTCCCCCAAGGAAACCTGCCATGGTTCCAGAGGTCAGAAATGTATGAAATCAAGGTGCTGCAGGCCTGGTTTCTTCTGGGTCCTCTGAGGGAGAACTCCGTCCCAGGCTTCTGTTCTAGACTGCAGTGCCACCGGAAATCCTTGGTATTCCTAAGCTTGCAGACACTAAACTCCATCTTTGCCTCCATCTTCCAAATGACCACCTCAGCATGTGTGTTCTGGATTCACTTTGGTCTCTTTGGAGGCCACATGCCATCAGACTTAGGACCTAGTGACATCTTGGTTAATCCATGGTGATCTTACCTTGAGATCTCCAACTAAATTACATATGTAAAGCCCCCTCTTCCAAGTAAGGACATTTTCAGAGGTTCCGAGTGCTTAAGCTTTTGAGACGATTCAACTCACCATTACACCATGACCAGTGACACTGCTAGATGGACAACAGGAATACTTGGTAGATCTCTAGAGGAGAATAGGTGCAAGTTTCAGAAACGTTCAGCTCCTTCCTGGTCATCCCACCTCTTCCTGACTCCAGAGGTGAACCCTCTTGAAGTCACTGCTCCCTAATCCTGGGTGGTTGGTTACCTTTCTCATCAAAACTCTCAAGCAGCTGGGTTTACTCTCATGATTTTACAAGAAGGGAGACAACCTGCTTCCATAGCACTAGGCCAGACAACCCTGTTCAAGCAGCCATACACTCACTATGGCCTAGAGTCCCTTCTAAGAAAACTGCCTATATGTTTTGGGAGTGACAGCAGCCTTCCAAACACTGAGATGGGAATTTTCCCCCTGGGATTATGTGTTTGAAAGCTCCTAGCACTAACTGAAGTTCTAAGAATAAACAACACAAGCTGCAGTTCTAGGACCATTTTCTCTCCAAATATTATAATTCTTTGGCACTGTGGCACACTGGATTAATCCTCTGCCTGCGGCACTGGCATCCCATTTGGGCACCAGTTCTAGTCCCGGCTTCTCCTCTTCCAATCCTCTCTGCTGTGGCCTGGGAAAGCAGTAGAAGATGGCCCAAGTCCTTGGGCCCCTGCACCCACATGGGAGACCCAGAAGAAGCTCCTGGCTTCAGATTGGTACTGCTACGGCCATTGTGGTCATTTGGGGAGTGAACTAATGGACGGAAGACCTTTTTCTCTGTCTTGCCCTCTCACTGTCTGTAACTCTACTCTCAAATAAGTAAATAAATAATTTTTTTTTGACAGGCAGAGTGGACAGTGAGAGAGAGAGACAGAGAGAAAGGTCTTCCAATGCCGTTGGTTCACCCTCCAATGGCCGCCGCAGCCGGCACGCTGCAGCCGGCGCACTGTGCTGATCCGAAGGCAGGAGCCAGGTGCTTCTCCTGTTTTTTCTCTGTCTCGCCCTCTCACTGTCTGTAACTCTACCTCTCAAATAAATAAATAAAATCTTTTAAAAAAAGAACATCCCTGACTTTTTGATTTGGGAAATATGGCCAATTGTGCATGGAGCCCAGCAAAATGTGACATGAGCCATCGAACAGGAATCACAGGTCTAGCACATTTCAGATGATGAGTAAGGGTCTGAGTCCAGAAATGTTGGAATCTGACATATTGGTATGAAGGCATTAAGAAGAGACAGTAAAAAGCAAAATGGATAAGAGGGCAGATAGGAATGAATACCTTACACTAAATTGGAGTGATCATTAAGAGGACTGGCTCTGTTACCAGGTTATCTGAATTCAAATCACTTTCACCACATGCCAGGTAAGATACCTGGACACCTTAAGATTTCATTCACTCAACATGGCCAAAACCAGCAGCCAAGAAATTGAGTCTGTTCTCCCACATGGGTGACAAGGTCTTGATAATTTGGGCCATTTTCTGCTGCCTTCCAGGAGCATTAGCAGGAAGCTGGATTGGAAGGTAGAGATGGACTCAACCTCAAACACTCTGATATGTGATGCAGGATTCCTGAGCAGGTTAATAAGCTGCATCACAGGGGCGGGCACTGTGGCTTAGTGAGTAAAGCTGCTGCCTATTGTGATGGCATTCCATATGGGTGCAAGGTCAAATCCTGGTGCTCCATTTCTGATCCTGCTCTCTACTATGGCCTGGGAAAGCAGCAGAGATGGCCCAAGTCCTTGGTCCCCTGTATCGACGTGGGAGACCCTGAAAAATCTCCTGGTTCCTGGCTTCGGAACAACACAGCTCTGGCTGTTGTGGACAACTGGGGAGTGAACCAGTGGATGGAAGACCTCTCTCTCTCTAACTCTGCCTCTCCTTCTCTCTCTGTGTAACTCCAACTTTCAAATAAATAAATAAATCTTTTTAAAAAAATAAGCTGCACCATAATACATGCCCCCAAACTGAAGTTTTCCTTAGCTCCTCCATATGTAAGACACAAATACAAATTCCCAACTCTCAGGTAGTTGTAAATTCCAAATGAGCTGACGTGGGAAGTGCCAGGCTCAGTGTCCACCGTTCAGTGAGTATTCAGTAAATGCTGGCTATCTTAGGTTTGCATAGTGCGTCACAATTTATATTCCACATATGCTGCCTTATACAATGTCCACACTCCTGTTATTCCCATTTTAGAAATAAAGATAAACAGGTGTAGATAAATAAGCAACTAACACAAAGTTTCACAATTAGGACCAAGACTGGAGCTTAACTGGGACCCAGGTTTTGATTTGCCATAGATTCCCTCTCTGAAATTGTGCATGTAGGAGAGGAGTTGGAGGAGGAAGAAGACTTGCAAGTGCAGGGTAAAGAAGGAGCTGGAGTTCAGAGTAGGGCCAGTTCAGAAGACCTCCCCAAAGAGTCTGATCCTTTCTTTTTATAACATCCTCTTTCTGATTTAACTTTTTATAGCTCCAAGAGACATATAAATTGAATCTTAGTCGACCAATTCCTTTGCACATCCATAAAAAGGAGATACCTTCCTCTAGAGAATTTGTTCAACAGACATTCCAACAACAGACATTCCAACAGCCACCAGCAGACGAGGATATGCAACCTGTCAAGAATATTAGGTATGTGGTGGAAAGACTGACACGTTCAGATGATGTGCAAAACCTAAAGTAGTTTTTCCATCCAAGATCCTCCTCTTCCCCACCACTATGATACGGTGCAGGGGAGAGTCTAAGGGAATATTAATTCTCTGAACTAATTTACCAAAAGGTTGATTTATTGGTCTTGAGTTCCTTTCTAAAAACACAAAGGGGGAATGCATTCTTCCTCATTAAGAAATAAATTACATTAAGAATGTAAAATAAAAAAGCTTAGAAGCATTAACTCCCGGAGGAGCTCTGGGAAGGGAGCAGAAAACACCCATGTCTGCTGTACTTCATAATGCTAAGAAGGTATTTTAATATGGATTTCTAGGTGAAGTCATGGAAATTCAGCTTTGTTAACCATTTTTTCAGAAAGTTCTAGTTTTTCATCCACCTGTCTGTCATAGTGGGCATAGCTGATGCTTGTCAGTGCAAGGGGAGGGCAAAACAGGACGAGGCCGTGGTGAAGCACTGAGGGGAGAGTAAGACTCAGACATTTTGAATGTCCATTGGCACAGCCCAACCACGCACTTTCACTTAACGCTTCTCTGACTCTGCAGACACCAAGATGACCAGATGGATGCCATCTGGAAAACTGATATATGCGATTCAAGCTACCCAATAACAGAGAAGACACCAACAAATATACCCTGGGACCAGTTGGGTGGATATCCAGACATTCCAAGGCTGCTCGAGTTAGATATCCAGTCTACCTTCAGGAAATCTCTCGCATCCATTAAAACACAGTTAGGCTTGGGAGCACCCTGGAAAGTAGGTTTTTCATCATCTGGCTTTTGTTTCCCTAACCTTTCTCCTGTGGCACCAGGCAGTTGCCAAAAGTAAGAGTTTGGTGTGTCACAGACATGAGGATTTCATTTCTGAAAAATATAAAACCAACCAACCAACCAGACATCTGCAGAGTCAGCTTAACCCACCGTACTGCAATGCCAACTCCCAGGGTCAGGCATTTTAGATGCAGAAGTTAAGGGGAAGCAGAATTTCAGATATGTTCCTGTGCCACATCACAGACACATGAAACAGACTGTCAACTGCAGAGTTTCCATGCTGAATCGAATCAGGAAAATCTTACCAAATAGGGTGAGATCAGGGCTCTGAGAATGACTGTCTGCCATTTCTCTTTTCACTCAGCCTGTGTCTCTGTGACTCTTTGGCTCTTGGAATTTTATCATTAAATCTTTGTTGAAAACTCACAGCTGGCACATAGTATGCTACATCAAAATCCTTTACTTCCCTATATAGGTCTTAGCTGGGGCTTTGCATTATTGAAACTAAGTATATGATAATCTTAATTTTCAGATGTTTGCATTGACTTGTTAGAACATTTGCCTTCTACTTTAAAAAGCTACTTCAGATACAAATTATAAACTAGAAAGTTGGCTGGTGAGTACAGAATCAGGGCAGATACTAATCATGGGACATCAATATGACTGGGACTTAAGATCACGATTTCGATTTGTCTCTGCTGCAAGGATGTACCTGACATGCACCCTGGCCCTGCATGCTGCTTGTGGACAACCCGAGACAACTCCCTGAACCTGTCTTGTTCTCATGCTGACCCGTCTGCCACTGCATGTCCTTGTTTGCTTTCCTTAAATAACTGAAATTATTTTGTTTTGCTAAAATGAAATTTCTTTTTTCAGAATATACACTAGGTATGTTTTAACAAACAACTTTCAGGAAATACATAAAATATAAGCACGGAAAAAGAAGAAAAACTACAGGCCTTTGGCACAGTAATTAAGAAGCTGCTTGGGACGCCCCCATCCCAAATGCTGGTCACTGGGTTTGAGCTGCATCTGGAGTTCCAATTCAGACTCCTGCTAATGCACATCCTGGGAGGCAGCAGGTGCTGATGGCTCAAGTATCTGGGTCCTTGCCACCCATGTGGGAGAACAACATTGAGTTCCCAGCTCCTGATTTAAGCCTGACCCAGCCTTAGGTTGTTGTGGGCACTGGAGTACTAAATCAGTCTGTCTCTCTCTCTCTACCTTTCAAACAGATGAAAGTAAATAAATGTTAAAAGCAAATTTGTCGGGACCAGTGCTGTGGCTCACTTGGTTAATCCACTGCAGTGACGGCATCCCAAATGGATGCCGGGTTCTAGTCCCGATTGCTCCTCTTCCAGTCCAGCTCTCTGCTGTGGCTTGGGAGGGCAGTGGAGGGCCTTGGACCCACATGGGAGACCAGAAAGAAGCACTTGGCTCTTGGCTTCAGATCGGTGGAGCACCGGCCATAGTGGCCATTTGGGGGATGAACCAACAGAAGGAAGACCTTTCTCTCTGTCTCTCTGTCTATAACTCTACCTGTCAAAAAAACCCAAAAAGTAAATTTGTCACTAAAACATCACTGTATAGTGATATTGTTGTTTTCTCTCCTTCTCCTTCTTAAAGCTTTTTTTAGCCAGCACTGTGTCTACCATGTAGTTGACAGTATCTAGCTGACAATGCAAAACATTAATAATACATTTAATTATTTCGCATTGCTCTTGAAAATAGTAGCTGTATATACTTATGCAGTACAATATGATTGTTCAATATATGCATATATTGGGGAATGATCAAATCAGGCTTAGTATCACATGCATCCACAGACACATCATTTCTTTGTGGTATAGAAACTTAAAATCTACTCTTTCATGGTAGGCAGTGTGGCACAGCACCTTAAGCTTGGGATTGCCCACATCCTATCAGAAGGCGGGTTTGCGTCCTGGCTATACTATGTCAGAATCCAATTTCCCACTCATGTGCCAGGGAAGGTAGTGCATGATGGACCACATGCATGAGTCCCAATCCACACCCTTCAGAGGCCCAGATGGAGTTCTGGGCTTCTGGCTTTGTCCTGGCCAATCTTCAGCTATTGCAAGCATTTGGGAAGTGAATCACTGGGTAGAAGATCGCTCAATCTCTCCTGATCACTCTACCTTTCAAATAAATGAATAAATCTTTGACAAAATTCACAGGCAATTTTGTGACATATGCTACAGAAACTCTGACAATTATGTTGTACAAGAGAATCCTAGGAATTACTCCTCCTGTCTAAAGAAAACTTTGCATCCTTTGACAAACATGTCCCTTCTTCCTGAGAACTCCCTTGCTTCAGTCTCTGGTAATCATCAATCTGCTCTACCGTTATGAATTCAACTCTCTGGGTTCCATGTATAAGTGAGATCTGTCTCTATGTTCTTGGCTTGTTTTACCTGGCAGAGTGTCTTCTAGATACATTCATGTTGTTGCAAATGACAGAACTTCTTTATTTTTAAAAGCTAAATAGTATGCCATTATGCATGTATACCACCTGTTCTTTACCTGTTCATCTACTGCTGGACATTAAGTTGTTTTCAGATCTTGAGTACTGTGAAAATGTTGCAGGGAAGTACAGACATCTCTCCAATGCACTGATTTCAGTTCCGGTTGATATGTATCCAGAAGTGGGATTGCTCATCCTAGGGTAATTCTACTTTTCATTTTTTGAGGAACCACCATACTAGATTTCAAAATGACTAGACTAACTTATTTCTGCCAACAGTGTGCAAGGGTTTCCTTTTGTCCAAACCATAACTGGTGCTTGTTACATCTTCTTCATAAGAGCTATTCTAACAGGTGAGAGGTAATAATCTCATTATGGTTTCAGTTTGCATTCCCTGATTAAAACTGTTGAGTTTTTTATTTCATGTATCTGTTGGCCATTTGCATGTCTTCTCGACAAATGTCAAGTTTGGTACTTTTGTCTATTTGGATTGTTTATTTTCTTGTTATTGAGTAGTTTAATTTTCTTACATACTTTGGGTTGTAGTCCCTTCTTTGATGTATGATTTTTAAAATTTATTTAATAATCTTTGGGTAATTTCCTCACCTTGGCATACAGAAACTTGAGATTTATTTTTATTTATTTGAAAGGCACAGTCAGAGAGAGAGAAGTTGTGAAGGAGGGAGGGGTGAAGGAGGAAGAGAGAGAGAGAGAAAGAGAATATGAATTTCCATCTGCTGGTTCACTCCCAAAATGGCCACAATAACCCAGCTTGGCCAGGCTGAAGCCAGGACTTAGGAGCTTCTTCGGGTCTCCTGTGTCAGTGCTTGGATCCAAGGACTTATGTCATTTTCCACTGCTTTCCCAGGCACATTAGTGGGGAGCTATATCAGAAATACAGCAGCCAGGATTGGAACTGGCACCCATATGGCTTGCAGGTGCTGCAGGCCATGGCTCTAACCCATTGTACCACAGTGCTGGCCCCAGCATGCTGAAATGTTTTAATTTGATGTAAACCCATTTACATATTTTTACTTTCAATGACCAGACTTGTGGAGTCATATCTCAGAGATCACCACCTCATCTAATGCCATGGAAGTTTCTGTGTTCTTGTAGTGGTATCACTATTTCAGGTCTTATAAATCTTTCATCCATTTTTAGTGAATTCTTGGGTAAGAGAGAGATAAAGTCCCACATGGATCCAATTTCATTCTTCTGCTTACTGATAGCAGCTTTCTCAGCAAAATTTGTTGAATGGACTGTCTTTTCCCAATCATGTATTTCCTTAAAAATTGTTTAACACTTTTATTTTTAATTAGTTTTTAACAGATTCAATGTGATATGTAGACACAATTCTAAGAATACAATAATATTCCCTTCCTCCCTATCCCCCCTCCTTCCTCTTCCCTTGTTTTTAAGATAACATTTTAAATTTGCATTACAGTAAAAGGGCTTAATACTACACCAAATAAGAAGTTGAGCAAGTAAAAAAGCAGAGACCCAATGTTGAGGTTGATTTGCTCCGAGAAAAGCATGATGGGGGCAAGAGGCGCAGAGTCACGACACAGACCCTGGGAGTCGGGTGAAAGTGGGCCAGAGGCGAGCAGCCCACAGACTCGTTTATTTCAGTTGGTATAACAGCTTATATAGCCAAGGCAGCCAATCCAGTCAAGGGGCGTTTTATGCCCTAACCAATCACAGCCTGTTGCCAGGCAGTATCCGAAGCCATCCAATCACAGACTGTTGCCAAGCAGGCTCCATTGCCAGGTGGGTTTCAAAGCCATTCCTGAGTAACTGATGCTCGCTTACCAGTGGCCATCTTGGCATGGCCTTCTCATTCCACCACATTTTCCCCTTTTCGTTTATTTTTGAGCAACGGGAGGCATGTTTCTGTCTCTGTATGCGGCTGCGCCTGTCTTAGGTTTCGCCCAGGGGATCTTACCCGTCGTTGACTAACCAGCACTCAAAATGAGAGACCACAGGAGTGCTTGCTCAGATAGGGGTAGGAATGAGGAACAATGGTAATCAGGAATGGCATGCCTGCACACAGGCTGTGGGCCATTTGAGTGGCTGACCAGAGCTACTGGGGTATAATTCAGTAACAGATTGTGGCTATGGGCAGTTTCTCAGGGTAGGATGATAGGGCAGGTGCATCTGCTAACAAGGCGGACTCTCAGTCTTGTTCAGCTGGTTCTGGTTGGCTGTCAGTTGCAGGCTTGATGTTTCTGGCTGGTACCCAAATGGACTGTCCCACATTCTCTGGAAAGACACAAGCATATCCTCGGCCTGTGGTTAGCAGAAGCCTTTTTACAGGTGTTGGAATCCAGGGCCTGAATTTTGTGTCCACTCCTATATTAATGGCAAACATGCAGGTGGGATGGGGTCTAGCAGCTGCCCTGAGAGCCTGGGGTACCTGAGTACTGCCACAAATATGGGGATCCTCACTGGGTGTGGATGGGATGACCTTGCATGAGTTATTGTCTCAAGGTCCTCTAAGTTCATCCCACGGGTACGTAGGGGGTGGCTAACTAGGCATTGCTACCTTGTTTGCTACATTGTCATTTTCACTGTGTGAGCTCTCTTTCCCTAAGTCATCAACTGTTGTATGTGAGGCAGGTGCCTGGAGTGACAGGCTCTGATCACTCACAACCCTACTTTAGTGGGAATATAAACAACTGCTACAAGCATAAATTGAATGGGAAAATGACCATTTCACCCATATACAGTCATCATGTATATTTGTATCTTGATTAAAACCAATTGACCATAGATGGGTGTCTTTACTTCTTGGCTCTTTCTCCTATTCCATTGATCAAGTGGAATCTTTTGGGATTTATACACCTTAGTGCTCTCTGAGCGTCATGGATATGGTTTGGTTCCTGATGTCAATATGGGAAAATTCTCTGTTATTAATGCTTCAAAGTTCCTCCATTAGTTTTTCTTTCTTCTTCTGGAATTTCCATGACCCATATGCAATAACTTTTGTGACTTTCCCACAGTTCTTGATATTCTGTTTTTCAGCCTTTTTCCCCCTTTGCTTTCTGGTTTAGGAAGATTCTATCACCACATTCTCAAGCTCAGGACGTCTTTCCTTAGTTGTGTACAATTTATGAATGAGCCTATCAAAGTCATTCTTCATTTCTGTTAGCGTTTCTGATCTCCAACTTTTTTTCAATTTTTCTTAGAATTTCCATCTGTCTGCTTACATTTTCTACCTGTTTTAGCATTTGATTACTTTTAACGTTTGGCGCTCCATGGCACACTTCTCATGATTCCTTTAAATACTGGTCTGAAAATTCCAACATTCCTATCACACCTGGCTCACATTCTGAGGCTTGCTCTGTCTCTTAAGCAGTGCTCTGTTTTATTTTTCGCTTGTTAGTATACCTTGCATTTTTCTCCAAATATAGACATAATGTACCAAGTGAAAATGAGCTCACATTGCGTGTTTCTGAACTTTCTTTCGTTTCACTTATCAGCATATCTTTGAAGTTTTTCTATATTAATGTAGACCTACATTGTCATTTTATTGATTACATGATAGTCAATCATACAAATGCATGATAACTTATAGTACTGTTCTGCTCTTTCTGATAGAAATTAGGACAACTGTCAACATTATAAGAATATTGCTCCATTTTTCATTGCAGTGATTGCCATATTTATATGATAATTGCCCTATGAAAATGCCATTAAATATTTTAATTACAAAAGCAATGCATCCTTGCTATAGAACACTGGAAATGAATTCTACCCCCAGAAATAACAACCATTGTTAATTCTGAAGCCATGTTTTAACTTTAGAGATAAGACTACTGTGGAATGGGTTGGGCATGAACAGTGATTAAGATACCACTTTGAGACACTCACATCTCATATTGAAGTGTCTGAGTTTGAGTCCCACCTCCAGTTGTGACCCAGCTTCCTGCTAATAAACACCTTAGGAGACAGCAATGGATGGCTCAAGTATTTGAATCCTTGTCACTCAGCTGGATGATTGAGTTCCAGTCTTCTGGCATAATCCCAGATATTGCTGGCATTTGGGGAGCGAACAAGCAGATGGAAGATCTCTCTTCCTCTCACACTCTCTCTCGCTCTCTCTCTCACTCTCGTTCTCTCACTCTCTTCCCTCCTCTCGTCTCTCCCAATCTCCCTCTACTCTTTCAAATAAATTTTAATAAATACTACCTGGTAAGTAATTAGCTTTTGTCACAATGTGCTCTTTCGCTTTTGTTTTGTTTTGTTTTTGTCCTGGAAGACATTCTGTCCCTTAATGTGACTTTCATGAATATGGATTACAAACTGATTTTACTAAGCTTGCCTTGTGAGTTCTGAAGGCTCTCTTAGGTTCCCTATGCTTTACCTATATCCCACAAATGTGTTTCTGAGCAATTTGTAATAATATTTTCTTGTTTCACTTCCAGGATAAAGAAGACTCCTAAGTGACTATAAAAATTCAATACAAGCATGTTCAAAACAAATTTCACTGTTTCAATAAAATGCCCAGTTTGTTTTTCATGAATGTGCATAGCCTGATCTGTCTTTTGCATTTATGTCCTGCTAAATTTTCTTAGATTGAACATCTTAACTTCCAGACAAATACTATGATTACTTAGAGACTATCTCCTGTTCTAGTTCACTGGAAGCAAAGTTTAAGCAAACCCTGGTGAGGGCTGAGTCAGAAAAGGGATATATCAGGGACCAGTGCTGTGGCATAGTAGGTAAATTCATTGCCTGCAGTACCGGCAATCCATATGGGCATGGGTGTGAGTCTTGGCTGCTCTACTTCCAGTCCTGCTCTCTGCTATGGCCTGGGAAAGCAGTAGAAGATGGCCCAAGTCCTTGGGCCCCTGTACCCATGTGGGAGACTGGGAAGAAGTGCCTGGCTCCTGGCCTCAGATCAGCCCAACTCAGGCC